TTACATGGCCACAAAAATTTGCCTCAGGCTGCAACCTGGCATGTAAGGTATCAGCGTGGGACAGGTTCTTTTGATTTTATTTTATTTTCTTACAAAATCAGAAAATGAAACGCTTCTGTCCCTCCCTTCCACCAACCGTTTTTTGATTTATGGAGAGGAGGAAAGAAATCTGAAGTTGACAGGTTGGGACAACTCCACTCGGCTTTCTTACTCAAAAGCTGCTTTTGTTAAACCATACTTTGCATTTATGGCCTGCGGCTCTTGGCTGACACGAGGGCGGCTTCTCCAGTGAGGAGCAGGCTGTGGACTTCCCCGGGAGGAGGCCCCACTGAGATTACGGGGGCACTGAAGCTCAGGGGGGCAGGGGCACGAAGGCCCCTGGCTAGACAATGGATAGGACAGCAAGGATACGCCGCTCTCTGTCCCCCGCTCTCCACTACGTTTGGGTCCAGGGCTCCCGGTATCATCATGTATCCCACCAGCACTGGCCCCCAGCTGAAGTCCACGCCTTCTGAGAACCAAGATTGTCCTGTCTACTTCTCATCGCCCAGCACCCCTCTAGGCAAAGAAAAGCCATCAGTAAATACTGAGAAATCGAGGCTGCTGGGTGGACTCTCCTTCCTGTGGGAGGCTGTTTGTTCTAAATGACACGGCTGGCCAGAAGGAGCGGCCAGGGAGCCGGCTGTGGCCAGGGGAACCTTCCCTTCCTGAAGCCATGAGGGCTCTTCAGTAGATGATTCACTCACCAAGGAGTCTCCGGGTCAGCCTTGACCCAAGGCATGATTACAGCCCCTTGAAGGTGGCTGCCGGCCCATCGGTTCACTGTACAATTTTGGCACTCTGTAACTGTATATTTACTCAATGGCTGTTATGGACAATCAGGTTAACAATTCACTTCCCAAATTACTAGATGTCAAATTTCCTCACGTCTTCTGATGAATTGGTCCCAATTACCTACCTAGTCCGGGTCCCTTTCCTCTCCTCTCTCAAATTTTTTTTAGTAAACCCTACCACACACACACTTCCCTCTCTTCTTACCCCCTACGGCACCCCTATTTTTGTGCCCCAGAAGAATAGCATGAAGTCCTTCCATTATGATAATCCTGTTCATAACCCATAGTTTTGCTACACTAAAAAGGCTTTAAAATGAGGCTAGGAAGCTGTCCATGGAAGGGTCAGTAAAAGCTGGCTGGCTGATTTCACCTGCCTCCCTGCCTCAGACGCAGAACATCTGAGCCACCCACACCTCATCACCCGAGCTGCACCAGATCCTGGCACAGCCAGCGGGGCCCCCGAGGAGAAGGAATGCAGAGCCCTGGTGTGTTCTGCGAGGCCGGAGCTCCCCAGACCAGTGGCTGGCAAGGGCCCAGGGATGTGAAACCACATGGGCTTAGGAGACAACTCCGCTCGGGACATGCTAGAGGGAGTGAAGAGAGAGACACATGCACCCTGAAAACAAAAATGGGAGAGGGATCCCCGGAAAAGCAACAGCAGCCAGAACCCAGGGCCTCCTGTCTGTCTCCCCAGGGCCCTTCGCACCTCGGCTCTGTGGTTTTAACACACTACACCTCACCCACCACAAGTGGACAACCTGCTGTCAAGGGTCAAAGCAATTTCTGCTCCCCAACAGGGCAGTGTGGTCAGCTGGCCCGGGCCACCCCAGCCTGGAACTGAAGCCACCCAGGCCACAAGCTACAGGGCCTGGCGGGAGACCCATGCAAGACAAGGGTCCCTGAGCACAGCTGTTGGAGGAGAGAGGACGAAGGTGACAGGGTTGCCCCAGCCTGCTCCTGGCCAAGAGTGACTGCGGCTGAGACAGTGTTTCTTCTCCAAGCTAATGGGTTGTGATTTTTTAAGTCTTTTCTTTCTTTCTTTCTTTCTTTCTTTCTTTCTTTCTTTCTTTCTTTCTTTCTTTCTTTCTTTCTTTCTTTCCTTCCTTCCTTCCTTCCTTCCTTCCTTCCTTCCTTCCTTCCTTCCTTCCTTCCTTCCTTCCTTCCTTCTTTCTTTCTTTCTTTCTATGTTCCACCCCCGTACACCTCTCTCTCTCCCAGCACACACACTTCGCTACGAGGCTCTAGTATTTTAAAAGGTGCTGGTTTGTTTGGTGTGTTCTTTCCCCACAGGTAAGATTAGTTTCCTAACAGACTCCCAACGCACTTTTCTGTTATGGTAGGAAGTGAATTGGGAAAAGCCTGGCCAGACAGCCAGCGCCACAGAAAATTCCCGAACTCATGAAATCCATCTAGATCAGTGGTTCTCAACCTTCCTAATGCCGTGACCCTTTAATACAGTGCTTCATGCTGTGGTGACCCCCAACCATAAAATTATTTTCGTTGCTACTTCATAACTGTAATTTTGCTACTGTTATGAATCATAATGTAAATATCTGATATGCAGGATGTATTTTCCTTGTTACAAATTGAACATAATTAAAGTATAGTGATTAATCACAAAAACAATATGTAATTATATATGTGTTTTCCAATGGTCTTAGGCGACCCCTGTGAAAGGGTCGTTCGACCCCCAAAGGGGTCGCGACCCACAGGTTGAGAACCACTGATCTAGATCGAGAGAATGTCTCCTGAACCTCTAGTGTCCATTCTAACCTTGGTGTCAAAAGAATGCAAATGGACTAATGTTTTCCAGCTTGGCTGCACTTTCAACTCAAACATCCCTGCTCATCAGGGTGGGAACAGACTGGTGCTGGGGGGATTTCTATATTAGAACATTGGGACTGTTCTACCTGGAGTTTAGTTTGGTTGGCATTTCTGTGTTGTTTATTCAGGTTGTGGTTCCTTTCCTCCATAGGAAAAAAAAAAAGTGGAGCTGTATTTGTTTCCTGATCGTGGACAGAAGGAGGGTGTGCAGTGGAGGAGGTGTGTGGGGAGCAGGCAGAGAGATGGAGTGGGGCCGAGAATATCCGGAATTGGAGGAAAGTGAGAAATGGAGCTGTTTCTTGGCTTCCAAACAGTTGTAATTTCTACCGCCACTGCTTAGATCCTGGGCACCAGGCACGGAGAGTGGGAAAAGGGACATGTGACAACTTTGCAACAACTCGGGATTTGGCATTTAAATCCACAGGAAATAAGAAAAATAGAGGGACTTCTTATTTATAGATTTGCAGATGAATTGAATGAGATAACCAAAATGCACTTCTCGTGCATCTGAGGAGCAATTCCATTTTCAGACTTGGAAAGTTTCCCATAACTGAGCATCACCCACCCCGCTGCACGCTGCGTCCCAAGGTTAAGGTCGGCATCCTGAAAACCGGGCAGAAGGCTGCTGCTTTGGGGGTAGCACGAGAATTCTCCTTGGAAGGACAAGTTGGTACCACACTACACTCAACTGGGTTCAGTTCATCTGATTACACAGTGCCTTGCTTTCTAGAATATGTAATCATCTCTTTCTGATGACATTTTAAATGTCCAACTAGACAAATAATTGCAGCAATAATTGATAGCAGAGTCAAGCAGGAAGATCACTGATTGGCAGAGTCCCCGCCGAAACAAATCTTCCTTTCAAACGTTACAGGAACGATGCTTAAATCTAACTTTTGCTGATAAATGCTCAAAATCTGATTTACTGATAAAGGCACTGCAAGAAGACCTGCACTTCAGCCTGTGATTACTTTGTGAGCTGCTCGAGAAGAATCAGGCAGCGTGATTTATATTATCTCACTTCCCATGAATAATTGCTTGGGTAGGGTGGGTAGTTTGGGGAGGATCAACACGGGCAAGAGAAGCGTGGCTCCTGATGCTGCACGGCCCCAACGATGCTGGGCAACCATCAAGTTTGCAGCCCTTTCCCCTCCAATATGCACCCCTGCTGGAGAAATGTTGGGGGGTGGAGTGGGGGGACACACAGAATGGAAGACGCACAAGTGATCAGCTCCGCTCAGGCCTTTGAAAACTGGTTTAAATCAATGCCTCAAATCAGGACTCAAATTCCCCAGCCCATGTTCAGAGAGCCCTGAACATGGTCGGGGGGCCTGGGCTCCAACGAAACCCAAGCAATCTCAGGCAGGTCCCGGGAAATGGCTTCTATCTGCTTCAGCTCCCAGCCTGTTTCTCCATCTGAGGTAGAACCCAAATCGATGGTCTCTATCATGTGTTTTGATGGCAAGATTCAAGTTGTTACAGTGTGGGGAGCTGCTTTCAACAACTCGGGCCCTGTGGAACGCTCTATGGTCAGAAATAACTCACGGAGGATGCTTGTCTCCGGGAATCATCAAATGAACGAGCTGGCGTATTAGCAGACACAGATTACAGTAAGGAAACTGACCAGCAGCAAAGCAAGAAATCAGAGATGGGGGTCTCAGCATTTGCCGGAAGCGCTAGCATGAGGCTATTCTTTCATTCTCCCACTATTTTCTTATTGTTCTTTCTCCATTTCTTTCTTTTTGGGGGGTGTTGAGGGGTGTGCTTCCCTGCCCCCCTCCCCATAGAATCTGAACCATTACAGGTGAGTCCTTTCATAGCTTCTGTTAAAAATCAGAAGCTTGTTAGATGTAATGATTATCTGCGCCGTGACACTTACCACGTGCGAGGGGGCTTGTCAAACAGCTTTCCTCTAATTTAGAGCTCGTCCGGTAATTAGAAAGCCCTCAGATATTCTGCAAATGCAGGTCACTATCGACAGCTCGTGCTTTTGATGCTTTGCCTGTGACAGTTGTTGGGCTGCCCTTCTAGGAGCTGGCAGCATTGTCCAAACTCTGACAGCGTCAGAGAATGCAGTCACCATGGCCGCCTCGCGGGGAGTTCCACGCAAGGTGACTGTCCGCACAGTCTGTTCCTCCATCGCCAGCAAGCCTGATGAAACCTGCACTCACATTCAGCTAAAAATAGCTCTCATTTCAATCCTCTCTCCCTTCTCTCTCCCCCTTTTGCTTCTCCTTCTCACCTCTCTCTTCTCCCTTCTTCCCATTATCTTGCTAGCATCTCCCTTCTCTCACCTTCCTTCCCCTTACACCTCACCCCCACCCCGCCCAGTCATGGGGGTCCTCGACTATTGAAATGGTCATGTTCACCAGAGAGGGAAGTAGGTCTCACAGATGAACCAGGTTGCTTTTTATTGAAACAGCAGTGATTGTGGAACAGAAACTCTCCCCCCTGCTTTAAAAAAATATTTCCTATTTTGTGTGCAGGTCAGCAGCTGCACCTGGTGAGGTGGAGGTCAAGTCTACGCCTCCAGCCATGCTCACAAGCTTTTCTCTTAAGGGAAGGCGGGCCTGAAAGGGGGAGAAGAGGAGGAGGGAGGAAGGAAAGGTTAACGACTCAAGCAAAAATGGATACAGGGCTGACGTTGTCCATCCTCATCACCATTCCAATGTAAGACCTTAAAATTATAAGAATTCTTACTTAGGAACAGCTTATTATGAGGAAGGGGACAGTGGTGATGCATCCATGACCATATGCTTTAACTTGTGTTTATTTCACCAAGTTCATCCAAACTTCATCAAGTTCAAGCCAAAAAGAAATCTTCTGTGGCACCTGACTTGGCCAAAACAGAGACCAGTATTTAAATCAAAACAGGAAATAGAAACATTATTTGCGCACACACACACACACACACACACACACACACACCCCACCACCACCACCACCAACAAGGCACAGCCCTGGAAGAACCAGGTGTCCCTTGCCACCACAGTCCCCAAGTTAACTCATCTCACCAGACCAAATCCCAAGTCTTACCTAAGCAGGCCCATTTCTTCCTTGAGGTCCCTGTAAACAAACACAGGAGACCGCGGGTAATGGGAGCCTGGCCTGGCAGTTGCTGGCTTATGAAAAGCAACGTGGGCTGGTGGAATACTATGCAGCAGTAAAACAGAAGGATCTATATTACCCTTTGCGACAGCATGGATGGACCAGGAGATTATTATGCTAAGTGAAACAAGCCAGTCAGAGAAAGACAAATGATCTCACTTATATGTGGAATCTAATGAACAAAATAAACTGATGAACAGAATAGAGCCATGGATGCATGGAACAGACTGACAGATCTTAGATGGGAAGGGGTGGCAGGATGGGAATACATTAATCAAAGAACATATATACACAGCCCATGGACACGGACAATAGTGTGGTGAAGGCCTGGGGTGAGGTGGGGGCTGGGTGGATGGAGGCAAAGGGTGGGAAAATGGGGGAAATCTGTAATACTGTTCACAATAAATAAATAAATAAATAAATAAATAAATAAATAATAAAATGCAATTGGCTGGGATGGGGGTGAGATGCCATGTGCTAGAATTCCCCCAAACCCAGATTAGCTAAAGTCACCGCGACTGGGCTAATGTGGGGGAGCAAGGTGACCCCCGCAAGAATCCCAAGGACAGCATCCTCAACAGGGGGCCGCTAACCCCGGGGGGGAGGGGGGCCATGCCTCCACCACATCCTGCTGCTGGCGGCTTGGTCATCAGCCTCCAGACATCAGTCCCAGGGGAGCCCTCAATGCTTTTAAGCTAACTGAGGGAAAAAACACCCAGGATTGTTTAGATCCTGCCTGTGAGGAAAAAATAAGAAAAAAACCAAGATCCAGAAAATAATGTGAATAGTGGCAAAAAAACAACCAACTCATTTCTAGAGAAAAACCCTCCATCCAACGTCACAAACTGCCGAATATTAGAATATTCCTCGGAAGCTGTCCCAGCAACCTAGATATGAGAAACTCCACTTGCTATTCTGAGTTGAGAAGTGAAGTTGCCTTTCACTCGGGACTGTCAAACCTGGCCTATAAATACAAGCGCTGACCCTTGTGGACACCGGGCTAAGCTCAGCCCAGAGAAGGCAAGTGGTTCCCTACGGTCACACAGCAATTCCCGGTCCCCTAGACCAGTCCCCCTTCACCACATAGATGGTTTTATCTTCTCTTGAAAATATGTATTATTACATCTGATCCCCATATTCAACAGGAGAGCTGAGGAATGAGACTGTACATTTTAATGTTTCTCTCCCCTACTTTCTTTCTCCAACTTCTGTTCTGGTTCTTTCCTCCCCAAACACACACACACTCACACACACACACACAACCTGTTTGGTATATTTAGGGGTCTATTCCAATATTTCTAATACTCTTGTTCTGTCAGCAGGCCAAGAGCAGAGGACAGTGGCAAGCCATTCTCCATTCTGAAATGGACTTCATTGAAAGGCTGCTGAAGGTCAAGACAGCCTGGGGGGTCTGGTACTTACACGGGGGCTTTCAGGGTCATTGCCCTGTGGGTGAACTCATTTCCAGAGCATGGCTTGTGATTTGTTCTCTCCCCACACATCAAATTGAGACACCAATCACATCTCTGCTACCCACCTTGTCCCACCTCAATTTAGCCTTCTTCTCACATAATGAGTGTGGCCAAATGCTGTTGAGTCCACTTTATGCACATACATGTAGTTTAGTACTAAGGCAAGTAAGGAATTCAAGAAACCTATACTTCACACACACACACACACACACACACACACACTTTAAGGGGTAATTTCTAAAGACCTACCAATGTGCAATATTGAAAGAAAATGGCTATATCCGACCTGGAAAAGCCTTGAACTTGTCCCTTTCTACATACCACAAGCCCTGTGGTGGACTTGGGGTCCTCTGGCTTTGAAATAAATAATGCACAGAAATGGGCAGATTGATGGATTAGCTGATAGATTATCAGACAAATGGAAACTCCAGCTCAACATCAGGATTGGGCCTGGAATTTCCTTCACGGAGACCTTATTAGCATTAGACAGCTGACCAAGACATCATGGTGTGACAGAAGAGCAGCCCATAGACTCCGAATGACCACTGCCTCCACGGAATGCTTCCACTCAGTGCCCTGCGAATGGCACTCACCCAGCCTGAGACAGTCATGCCAGGGCTCACGCCTGACCACTGCTCTGCCCGCTGCTCACTCCCCCTTTCATGCATTCACCCGTTTCCCTGCCATCGGAAATGGAATCAGAACAAATTAATATTTAATTTCAAGATTACTATTCTGTCAGAACAAAAAAGACTTGGGTAATTCAAAGCTAAGGCAAACGCCCCTCCCATAAATCTAATTTAGCTATTCCGACGCTAACGGTCCTACGGCCGTCTTCCTGCCTTCTACCCGTTATTTGCCAGGGGCCTCTGCCGCAGGCAGGAGGAGAGAGTCGGCACCACACCTCGAAGTGTGTGAAGTCCTAACCTTTTGCCCATGTAATGATCTGCTTAATATAACAGTTTGTCTTTAATCAGAGAAAGAGTAAGATAATTTGATATCCCATAAAACTCCCTAACCTATATTTTGCAAGTCAATTACCCAGCCTTTTCGCATTCATGTCAGCATATCCCATATGCTGCACCTCCAGCCCAGCTCTTAGGTGTCTGCGACCCACAACGCCACACACCCCAAGTGTAAGAAGAAAACTCAGGGTGGAGCAGGGGGAGTCATGCAGTGGGCAGTGACTTTTTCGTCATCTAAAAGGAAATTGGGAAACTGTCTTCTCAAATAGAGATGATCTTCCTATGGGGTCCTTCTGGTGGGCTATAAATACTAGCACATACTAATCAACATTATATACTTAAAAATGAGTACAGAATCAAATTAAATTATAAAACTACATTATACTGTTATAAAATCCAAAGCAGGGAGAGAGAGAAAGAGAGAGAGAGAGAGAGAGAGAGAGAGAGAGAGAGAGAGAGAGAAACAAGAAAAAGAACTCTTAGCTAGTCCCCTTAAGTTTAGCCCTATTCTCTGGCAGTCAACCCATCCTTAATAAAGGGGTTCAAAGTAACCATTTCTCTCTCCCCTATTTCTGAATAGAATAAAAAAAGCAAAAGGTTCGCTTTTACTGCATTCCCCATCAACCATTCCATCCACAGAAGCTGCAAAAAGGTGAAGACTTAAACCTGCGTAAGAATTTGGTCTAAACGTATTAAGAGGAACACAGACACGTGGAACAAACACAAAATACAAGTGTTCCCAACTCCAGCTGCCCGATAATGTCTGTCTCTGACAGGCTGAGGACTCAGCTTCCCAGCTCTAAGATGGAAGAGCTCGCCAAACCTGGGAAACATCAAAACTATTAAATATTAAACTCTCAGAACCCTCTCTTTGTTGCTACTTTTGCCCCGGTTTCCAAAACACAGTAATAATACTTCTCCCGCATTCTCCTTATGCAGGAACATTAACATTTTCCCAGGTGAGTCTGTCTCATTGGCTGTTGAAAGAGAACGTTTCTTTCTTTCCTTCTAGGAACAGGAGGAGTGAATCTGGCTATATCATCAGCGTCTGTAAAAGAACCTGAGTCATCACTTTAATGGAACAATTTCTCCAAGAATTCCACCTCTGAGAGGGCGAAGACGACTGTTGGGAAGCACCACTGTGTTCCCCCTCATTCCTCTCCTCTGTCCTTGGCAATCCAGTTACGATTTGACAGCATTTAAAGATGACAGTACTGGAGGTAATAGGACAATGCCATAACAGGATTACAGCAAATGTGAGAGAAAGGACACGTGGAGGTACTGTCATTTAGGTAATGTCATCTGTGATCAGTTTTTGTTTCATTTTTTGCTGACACAGAAGTCAGTATCACTTATACAATTCATTGTGAACCCCGGTGTGGTCGTAAATAGTTTGCTTCCCGGATGAAAAGAAACATTTATTATACTGCAGGGGGATTTGAGGAAAGTTTCTAGCTTTGGTTAATGTGAAAACAGTAACAAAAGAATTTTCAGACCAATAACCAAAGATCCAATAATAGTCTGAAGTCACTACTACCCCAAATAAATTTATCTTCAAAAAAAGAAGAGCCCTACCCGGCTTGGCTCAGTGGATAGAGCGTTGGCCTATGGACTGAAGGGTCCTGGGTTTGATTCCGGTCAAGGACACATACCTTGGTTGCAGGCTCCATCCTCAGCCCTGGGTGGGGCCTGCAGAAGGCAACCAATCGATGTGTCTCTCTCACTTCGATGTTTCTCTTTCTCTGTGTGTCTCTCCCCCTCCCTTCCACTCTATCTCAGAATCAATGGGAAAAAAATATCCTCAGGTGAGGATTAATAAAAGAAGAAGGAGAAGGAGAAGGAGGAGGAGGAAGAAGAGGAGGAGGAGGAGAAGGAGGAGGAGGAGGAGGGGGAGGAGGAGGAGGAGAAGGAGGAGGAAGAGGAAGAGAAGAAGAAGAAAAAGAAAAATTTCTGTTGGTCATGGACAGTAGAGGGCTAAGAGGTTTGAGAAGAATGTCTTAGACCCCAATGAAACTGTTGCTTTAGAGATTCTGGGGAAGATAAAGTGGAAACACCCAACTAAATTCCCACTGGGGAACAGTCAGCCCTGGCCTCCCCGACAGCAGGGTCCTTGCCAGTCACTGACACTCTTCCTCTTCCATTTCCTTTATGTTGTTCACCCACAGCACATCCAAGTCCATACCCTACGAGCTCTGGGAAGTCAGTTCTTTCCTACTCTCTGATTAGTTTTGGCCGCTGTTAGTTCTTTCCCGAAGCCACCACCTCTCCGAGAAGCTGCTATTCCTTTGCAGAGAACACAGCTGACCTGCCGTTAAAGCGCCTTCCTTGTTGTCCAGGACGAGGAGCCGTGCTGGCTAGCGGAGGAAGCGTCACGAAGGAGGCTGAAGGCATGTCCCGACCATTTCAATCCTAACAGAGGCTAGTCCTCTAGAACATTCTGGGCTTACTTGGGTTTCTGGTCTCCCTCGGACTTTCTCTGCTTCCCTGGCTAATCTCCTTTCCAAACGCCTATCTACTAGCCCTCTTGTCAATTCTGCTCCTACCCCATCCAGAAAAAAGTTCATTCAAACTCAGGCTAGCTTCAGAGCCTCCAGAGTGGGAAGGCACTATTTAAGAGAGTGCACAAGGACATGAATTTTGGTGCCTGCCTTGTTCCATGGCATGCCACCTGAAGGACAAAGGCC